CACCCCCCCCCACCTCCCTTTTGAAAAAAATAAAGAAATCAAAGTTCTGTGATTTACAATCCCCAGAGAGATTCTTTCTTTAATTCTAATTCTTTTACATGGTATGTTTCTCTCAGTGGATTCGGTTTACTAGCATTTACCCGAAGGTTGTCATTGGTGGTGGTTGTAAAGCAAGGAGGAAAAAAAGAATGGCAAACTTGAATATGATGCGATACAACCATATGATTGATTTAGGTTGTAGTAGTAGAAAATGAATTTGCTGAAAATATTTTTAAATGTGCATTTCTGGAAAAGCAATGTTTTATTTAATTTATTTTAATACTAGTTAGAATAAATCAGTTTGCAGTTGACAGTAACCATGTATAAACTATTTTTTAAAAAAGAATTTTAACGGGTTAAAAACGTATTTAAAAAATATCAATGTAGGGTCGTTTCCAAAATTAGTGAAGATTTAATCACTCATTTTGTGCTGTTTGTGAATGTAAACATTAAGATTAGTTTTAAAAAGTAGTAGAAATACTGTAAAAGTAATTATTAAAATGAAGTTTACGTTTTACACTCATGGTCGCTGTTGAAATTATTTTTTGGGTGACGGAATTGTTTTTTTTCCCTAATTTTCTGTGACCGACAATTCTAAAAGTATACAATTGAAATCGTAACGTACTCCTCGAGATATAGCTGTAATTGTCCAAATGTAGCAATTGAGGACAAAAACTTCATCCGAATGTCTTTTTTTTGGGGGGGGGTTTTTTTTTGTGTGAAATTTTTTTTTTTTTTTTTTTTTTTTTTTTTTTTTTTTTTTTTTTTTTTTTGCGCAGTGCACTTAAGTCCCAAGTTTACTTTTAAGGTACAATACATAGATAGATGCATTACATCTTAAGAACCATTGCCGTTTGTTTGGACTTTGAACCCACTGAAAATAGTCATGCATTTTTCAAAAAAAGGGCTACATGATATGGACTCTAGCGCCACCGTGTGGGACATTAGTCTACCAACACACGTTAGTTTTCGTTCCTTGTTTTGAATTGGCTCCGTCTGATTCACATGACTCGGTGACCTTTAATAATTAACTGCTTGTTCTTTTTTTCAATCCTTGCGATTTGCTGGCAACCAGTTGAGCGTGGGCCGCAGCTTTAGCCCGAAGACAGCTGGGATACGTTCCAGCACGCCCGCGACCCTCGTGAGGAGAAGAAACTAGGAGAATGCAAAGTTAAAGCAACTTTCCAGTTGTTCATGTTCCGACTACTGTACTGAGGTATGCAAATCGACCCGAGGCATCGCGTCCCCGCTTCCGGGCGTGGCAAGCAGCGGGAGGCGGGAGATGACAGGTAGCAGGTAGCGTCAGGTTGCTAACCGGGCCTATCAGGTAGAATCGCGGAAGGGAAGCAAAGCAACTCTGCTCCGGCCCCTCCAGGCAAGTCTGGAACTTGTGGATAGGACGGTCAAATATTCCATATTACGTGCGCCGTGTTTGTTTAGTCGCTGGGAGGAAGGAAGGGGGGAAAAAACTCAGGGGAACTATAATTATCTGCAAGAGTCATTTTTCTCCTCCAATTTTCATTGGAGACTGCGACGCTTGCTAGCAACGTCGAGGCTCGCAACTACTGAGCGAAACAAAAACAAACGGACCCAACTAATCCAAGAACGATTGAAGCGGTTACTCATTGATCCTGTCAAGTAGCGACTCCATAGTTTGTTTGGCCGGCTTCCAGTTCAAGTTTGCGGTGAGTTTGCCTACTTCAATCACACTCATTTTGTCATACACTGGATTTGAACATAGTTGTTGCTGTCTTGATAACACCGAACCTTTGTAGCAGATCCTCGGGGATGGGCTGTGTGTGTGTGTGTGTGTGTGTGTGTGTGTGTGTGTGTGTGTGTGTGTGTGTGTATGGGGGGGTTGTCCAGTTCTCCACCTTGCTTTGTTTGCCCCTAAAGAAACAAGCCAGTGGTTTTCCCAAATCTGAATGGAGGCCCATGTTTTCAGATTTAACAAAAAACAGACTCAAACATGCGTATCAAACACAAGGCTGGCGGGCCACATTCGGCCCACCACGTCATTTTATGCGGCTCGCCAAGGCACATTATGTGCAGTCATTTCATGTTTCTTGCTGAAATACCAAAATTGGGAATTGTCTTTGCTTTTAAAAACCTTGAAATATACGACAAGTAATTTGCTGCAACCGATCCTCTTCAAAATAGATTTGAGCAAACAGATTGTTTTGCCACCGCACCAGTACACAGTGGTGATGGGCGACGTGGACCTAGAACAGCAAGAAGCATTCCCCGTGGAGCGACAAGATGAGAAGCGGGACCTCCCCGACGGGAGACGCAAGTTAGGATGCTGCGAGAAGTTCCAGCAAAGCATCTCCAGGTGGATGCTTCCAGAAGATGCCCGCAGCACCTACCTGCAGAGAGCCAACTGCTGCCCGCCACCCGTTTTCATCATCGCCATCAGTGTCGTCGAGGTACGAGATCCGGAACGATGACTCGGCTTGCGTTTTGGGCTTCGAGCGTCCTTGCTTCCTCCTTTTGTGGCTCATGATTCATTCTCAAAGGAGAACAGGAGCCTCCCAAAAAACATGTTGCCGTCGAAAGGTCCCCTTGAATGACTGCACGATTGCGAAGGGTAAATCCTTTGCGGGATGTGTGCGCTATAAATATAAATATCTTGACATGTAGCAACGCCCAGTTTAAGGCACCAACAACTTGTGGGTTCAGGGCAAAAAAAAAAAAAGGAAAAAGTCATAATTATGTGAATGTAGTTGACATTTTCAAAGAAAAGGGAGGTCATTTGTAAGAATGGGCAAAGTCCTGCAACTTGGAATATTTAAGAGGAAAAAACGTCATATCATGCAAATAAATTCAAAATTGAATGCTAAAAACAGTTCTTGGAGACAATACATTTCATATTACCAGGGGGATTTTGTGAGCTCACGTGGAACAAAGTTATTTTCGCGAATAAAATCAAACGAATAAAGGATTAAATTGCAATCGGGAAAAAAATGTTATACAAAAAGTTACTTTAAGTGTCTTCTTCTTCTTCTTCTCCTTTCGGCACATCCCTATTCAGGGGTCGCCACAGCGAGTCAGTAATTTCCATCCGCCCCTGTAAACCGTCCTACCAACTCGCATGGTCGTCTTGGCAAAAGTTTTACGCCGGATGCCATTCCTGACGCAACCCTCCCCATTTCTCCGGGCATGGGACCGGCACTGGGGAACAGTGCACCCCCAGGGGAGGGCACTGCCCCCCAGCGGCTGGGTTAAAAAGTTACTTTAAGTGTAATTTGATAAATCTTATGAGGGAAACATTTTGGAGAGTAATTCATAATTTTATGAGAAAAAATACAAATTAATGTGTGTGTGTGTGTGTGTGTGTGTATATATATATATATATATATATATATATATATATATATATATATATATATATATATATATATATATATATATATATATATATATATATATATATATATATATATATATATATATATATATATATATATATATATATATTCAGAAGTCAAACTGTCAAGAAAAAAAAAGTTTTAGACCGTGAGAAAATTACCGTATGTTTAATAGTTTTGTACAGAGGGGAAAAACATTCTAATACGAGACAAAAGGCTATGGCAGGGTGCCCAAAAAGTGGTACCAATCAGTTCTTTTTGGTCCCTTGGCAAAGGACCTTAATGCCACTAACAGATGTTTAGTTAAAGCCAAAGCATGTTAGTGCTGACTATTACCTGGATTTGTGATGACGAGGACAGATGTTTGTCAGTCATACAGGAAGTGCTGCAGTGATGTGTTCGATGACCCCACGCCCTTCAGAAAACCCCCCAAAACAAATTAATGTTGGCGGACAAAATGTTTTCATTGAGCTCAGCGCATACTTTACGACGGCGTTGTGTTTTGTCGCTAGCTGTCCCTATTCATCTACTACGCCGTGTGGAAGCCGCAGAAACAGTGGGTGACTCTGGAGGAAGGCATCTGGAACAGCCGCCTCACCTACCGAGCCGAGTACAGGCAGGAAGCGTGGCGCTTTCTCTCCTACATGTTTGTCCACGCCGGGTGAGTGCGGCCAACCATACGTGTGAAGGAAAATAAATGTTGCATCTTGCCATGACCCCCATACCAGCTGCTTTACCTTGGAAGCCTCGCTTTCAGGAGAAGTGGAGTGTGAAAAACACGGCTGCTTTTCCATGGAGGAAACCACGACCGCTTTTAACTGTTCTAAAATTCAAACCAAAGTATAAACAGTGGATCATATAACTGTATATGTATGAATGTATGTGCATGTGTGCATGTATGCATGTATACGTATGTACCGTATTTTCACGGCCGTACGCCACACCCCGTCTTAAAAGGCGCAGTTTCAGTTACCGGTGCTATTTCTGAATTTAACACATGCGCAAGACACATTGTATTACTGGACGCAGGCATGGTCAAACGTACGCTAGTTTAAACAATATGGTAGCATGCACGCACACTAGCATATGATTTTAAAAAGACAGCGGGAACAAAACTTGAGTTGGCTTCATATTTAACAACCTAACGGTACTAACGTTCCAATGATTCTATTAAGTGTGGAGCACATCGTGGGCAACCTGTTCATGCAACTGCTTCTGGGTATCCCCTTGGAGCTGGTCCATAAAGGCTTTGAAGTGGGAATGGTTTACCTGGCCGGAGTCTTGGCGGGTGAGCAACGCTCTCGGCACCAGCGCATTCAAACGTGACTCAGTCTTGACACGTTCTTAGAAACGTACGTCCACACTAAAACACCATTTTCGCCACGTTGGCTTTGTGCCCATCCGCCCAGGCTCACTGGCAAGCTCCATCTTTGATCCCCTCAGCGCCCTGGTGGGGGCTTCCGGGGGGGTCTACGCCCTCATCGGAGGCTACTTCATGAACGCTGTGGTGGTGAGCCGCCTTACGTGCACGATGGTTATCGAGGAAAGCATTTTTTACAGCATTTTTTTGGTTTGTTTTTTTAACTTGTTGCAGAATTTCCGAGAGATGATCCCGCTGCTCGGTGTGTTTCGCATCCTTGTCATCGTGATTATTGGTAGGCAGACATTTTGTATTTTCATTTCATTCGTTTTTTCCTCTTCTATTGAGCTGCATGTTGTGTGTCACAGTGGGCGTGGACTTTGGCTTTGCCTTCTACAGAAGATTTGCCGGCGATGAGGGCGGTATGAAGGTACGTGCGGCTGCTTGCTGTGTGTTTGCTGCAAATCCAAACGACTCGCCTCCAGCCTGCCACGTCCACTCACCTCTCCCACTCAATGGCTGACGCGCTTCTTTAGCTTCGTCTCGTGGTACATAAGCTGATCAGGTTTCAACTTGATTCATGCCGCCTGTAGCTTCTCATCTCTGAATAGCATTTGAGAAGTCAACTGCGCCTCCACGAGTTGAAACACGGCATGCTGATGAATGTTGCGTTTGCGGAATACGAGTTAAGCAGTGAAATCCATCCCTTTTTAGCCATTTCAGGGAGGGGCCATTTTGTCACTTGCTATTGGCTGAAAATGACCTCACAGTTGCTCAGGGAGTTAACTAATTTACTAATGAACACCCAACTCACTGCTCAAAAAAAATACTACTAGCCAACTAACCAGTGAGCATTGCCACCAAGAAACAATTGTACCAATGACCTAGCAGATTGCTAGTCAACTAATTAGTAACTGACTAGCTCACGAACTGATTTACCAACTATTATCTTACTGACTAGCAATTAGATAATTAACCATTTCACTAAACTAGATTTCAACTACCTAAGTGTCTAAAATAACTAACCTTTCTGATTCGCTGGTAGCTTGCTGACTGCCAACTAATAAATGACTGAGTTATTTACCAACAATGAGCTAACTCTGTAAAGAATCAAATAATCTCATAGCTAGATGTCAAGCTAATGCTTCACTGATACCAGGCGCTTGAAGTAGTTTAACCTTGAGCTTCCTGTGGCGGCCAGGTGTCGTTCGTGGCTCATTTCGGTGGGATCGTCGCAGGAATGACGGTGGGCTACGTGTTCTTTAGTGACTACAACAAGAAGCTGCTGAAGGACCCTCGTTTCTGGATGTGTATCGTAGGCTACCTAGTCTTCTTTCTCTTTGCCGTGATTTTCAACATTTTCATCTCGCCCGCTGCTTCCTAGCGTAGCCACTCAATATTTGTTATTTTTAATTCATTTCTAGGTTTATACTGTACTCAGCGCCTTACCTCTTACCATTTTACGCGTAGGATTTTATTGTCATTTAATACATGTCATATTAAAAGTGTCCCATTTTCAGTCCGTCTGTGTTACTATGACTGAGTTTATTCAGCGCTTACACATTGGCTAAAATGTGACTGTAGGTTACAGCTAGCCAATTTAGTAACCCGCTTACTACCAGCTAGCTAACAAACAGCCATTTTCAATACCGTAACTCAGGGGTGTCACTCATTTTTTGTCACCGGCCACTTCGGAGTTACGGCTTCCCTCGGAGGGCCGGCCGATGAAAAATCTCAACGTTATTTATTACCCATGACAATTTGACATTACGGTACAGATTTCAGCAAGGATCATGAAAGTTGAAACATGATTTGCTCCAGCGGGCCTAATAAAATGACGTGGCGGGCCGGATCTGGCCCCCTGGCCTTGACTTTGACACCTGTGCCGTAACTGCTAGCAAGCTTATTAACAACTCACTGAAACAAAATAGCAGGTAACTCCCAGCGTACTATAAAAATTAACAAACTAGTACTGGTAGCTGGCTAACTGGCCGCTATCTTGGGAACTCTGTAACAATCGTACCTGCCAACAAGTTGATAGCCAAGCCAAGTAACTGCTAATTGGAACAAAATGCTTACAAAGCAAACAGAAAAACACGTATACTACTTAATCTTTGAGTTGTGGAGTTTGTAGCATGTGAAGGAATGTGCTCCAACCTCACATTTTGGCTTGCAATTTCAACAAAAAGCATCGTCACGTTACGTTATCCGGAACAATAAACTTGGTGCCACACTACATATGTAATCATTTTATTCTCACATAATCCGGCATGTCAAATTAATTAAATCCATCAGACTCTCCAAGGTGTTAGTGATTTTTTTTTTTTGTTCACCAAAATAATTAAACCACTGGATAGCATGTGCAAAACATGTTTTAATAATTTACATAAACTCACAGAAACGTGACAAAATGTAAGATCTACTTTTGTGTCTATTTAAGTCAAGCACAACAAAAATATACAGCCCTTAGTGAATACAGTACAAGTATTATAGTTCTACATGCAAATGACTTTCATTTTGGTGTTCTGCTTTTGTTGCAATTAGTTACAATCACTTTAAGGTGACAAGATTTATATACACCTGTAACATTACAACCTGATCATATTAGTTTTATTCTGTAATTATGATCATAACTACAGGAAGTGATTTGTGTGTCATTAAATAAGGTGCCATCTTCATAATGTCATAATGTGTGTGGTGATAGAGAAAGGCACTTTTTTTTTTAATTACAGATGCAAAACATCAAAAAACGTAAAGCACCCCCCGAAGTCTATTCCGCAACAGTGCTGTCTTCAGGTGGCTCATGGCGCTGCAGCTAGAGGAAGAGGACATGATGAACTACTAGTCTAGACAATACAACTGAAAACTACTGAATGCCCCCCCCCCCCCAAAGAAACCAACCCTGAACTTGAACTGAAATGTGGTGCGGTTTATATGTATAACGTCAAACTTAGAACGGTGACTCTGGCGAGGTAAATACATAAAAATCTCTGAATTTGGGAGCTTTATTTTGAAAATTTCATTGTGAAAAGTCTGACATTGCTGCAATGTGGAAATGGATTGTAGTAACTACTTTCTAAAATGTGGCCCGTTCAAATTTGGAATGTGAATGAAGGTGAGTGAACATTAGGGTGGTCCACATTTTCATGGCAAAAAAAAAAGTTTGTCGGATTCGTCGGGCCGGGTCGGAATTCTTGTCGATACTATGGTACAAGGTTCTGTGCAAAATTTCATTCCGATCTGATGATATTTTCCCGTCCCACAAAGCGGCCAAAGTTTCCACCATAACAACTGGTCTCAATAGGGTGAACATGTGTATTTTAACCGTGTATTTTGCCATGCGTGACACTGGCTGGGCTGAATGTTGCCCGAACGATCACCTCCTGACTAACTAATCATTCCATCGCTGCTCTCAGCAGCCGGAGACAAACTCAAACGCACGCCTAACACACAACGGTCACCTACTGGCGAGCTAATATCTTTCAATTGAAGTCGAGAATCGCCGGAATTCTTACTGGACGCTGAGCTGAGGACGCTTTTCGACATCGAAGCTCACCACGGCTCGTCGGCGCGCTCGTCACCTACGGGTGGTAAACGACTTTGCGGAGAGGGGCGTCGCCCTCATCAGCGCGTTCTGCGGCGCCATTACGCGCGACGAGGAACAGCGACAGCACCTTCTGCAGGTCGTGGAGCGACACCGGGCGTTGCACCCGTGCGCGAAGTAGGCATGGGATGGCACGCACGGCGGATTTCGTTTTTTTTGCGGTCTAACAGTGTCACTAGTGTTGATGGACATTATAGACAGATGGACAGATAGACAGATGGACCAGTTAACATGGACCAACAATCTCACCAGTGTTGAAGGATAACCACGGTTGCCTTTTTTGCAATACATGCGTTCCTGTCTTCCGTCTTTGAATTATTGCAAGTGCGAACTGAGCAAAACAAAATCCTTACTGTACGGGAGAAACCGTACTACCATTCAGCCCCGTAACATTCTTTCCATAGGGGAAACTTTGGTCGCTCTGCAGGACGGGATAAAATTATCCGATCGGAATAAAATTTTGCACACATCCTTGTGTCATAGTATCGACAAGATTTCCGACCCGGCCCGACGAATCCGACAAACTTTTCCAAAATGGACCACCCTAGTGAACGTCTCACTCACTCATGTGATTTTGCGTCTGGATAAAGTGGCAGACTGGGAACATTGTACACTTACTCTGGCTTTGAGGTCTAGGTTCTCCTCCTCCAGACGGGCACACCTCTGCCTCAGGTCCACCACTTCCTGCTGCAGAGCCTCCGTGTCAGCCTCTGTAAGCCCGGGCGTGCCAAGGTGCTGCTTGACAAATCTGGACGTTTGGGGTTAAAGAGATCTACAGCGGTCTTCATACTGAACACAGCACTTATTTTGACTTCATTTAGCTTAGCCCTGCTTTGTTTAGCAATGAGGATACTCCAGAGCGTTGGTAGGCTTCTCTGGTTGTTCGTACAGCGCTACTAAAACTGAAATAGATATACATATGGATTAATACATATACAACATGCAACATTACATCACATGGTGGCTGTTTAACTTACATTAAAATGAAGAGTGCAATGAATTTTGTTTTTTTTTTTTTATTAAACATAAAAATGACATACTAACAGCTAACTAGTAGCTCATTTGCATATTAACTGTCATGAACTACTAAGTAGCATTACTTACAATCAAGATGCTAGCTACTTAGCTTAACCAATCAACTAGTAGTTCGCTACTTATCTTAAGAACATCTAATGGACGGAGAACCAAATTGGCTAGTTAACTACCAACCAGCTAACCAACAATCTAGAAACTAGTTGTTGAGCTTTCTAACCAATATCTAACTGGCAAATTACAAAGTGATGTAATACCTAATACCCAGCTGAGGTTTTTTTTTTCTTGTTGAAAACTAAAAGTCGGTTTTTGCATTAATGTCCAGCCTTGGTCCCATTTAATGGGAGGAAAATAAACAGCATTGCTTTATTGGAGATACAGGTAACTACATATGATTAAAAAACAGTAATAGGCTTTTTTCGATTTTTTGAGAGTTCTAATTTAAAAAAAAAACAAGTTTAGCATTAGTCACTTGTGAATGGACAGGCTGATATCAGGCGGCCACTGTTCAGTATTAAATAAACCAGTGGGGACGGCAGCATGTGCAACTTTGGATCCCCAAGAAAAAAAATACGTACAGTATATCCGCGCTATATTATCTATCTAAAAACAATCGTTATCTTACCACTGGTTAGACTGTCAACAACACCAGCTTTTTCCAAATATCGCCGAAACTGCTCTCTCTTGTGGTCTGGGGCCTGTCGCCGTGGTTACAAGGGGAAAAAAGAAAGAAACAAACTTAAGTAAATAAGAGAATGAATGAATGAATTCCGAAATCACAAAAACGAAACACGGACGTAGGCTTCGTCATAAAACTCAACTTTGGCGCACTTCGTAAAACTGAAACACGATATCAATTCACGACTGCTTCAGTATTTTGTTGCCAACAAACGCAATCAAAAGTGCAGGTGCGCGACTGATTGTTAATTGAAATATCATTCACTCGTCCGATGCTGGTTTGCGCATTAATAATAACTCCTCGTCAAAGGTTTGAATAAACTAAAATAAACTTGCCTTATAATGTGACATGTTGACGCAGAATGTCCAAATGTGTCACCATAAATTCGGCGACTGTATTGTTTTGTTTTCGTCCGGCTTGGAAACGAAGCTCGACCGCCGTAGACTATTGCAGATCTGGAGTCAGCGAGGGCAGCATCCGATTCAGACCGGAAGTAGAATTATTTTCAAATTATTTGGATTACTTAATTGTATTGCTTTTTTTGGTTTGTTGTATCTTTTGCTACACCTTATTACGGTTAGTAAAAAAAAAATCAAAACATAATCCAACCTGTTTTCACATTCTTGTTTCGTCGTACTAATAACATCACCGATGTTCGACTCGATTCTCACTTTGAAACGCTGCCTTGTCGTCACGCTAGTTACTTTTATTTACAAGTACAGAATACATACAGGATAAGTGGCGCGCGTTGTTTTAAGTCTTTACGATTACTTGACTGTAAAAACGAACAACACTGACGCAATATCTTACGTCAGATCTAAACTTGTTACGTCTGGTGCCATACTTCCGACTGAGTCTGTGTTTACTCATTGTATTTGTGAAAGGTGATCTACTTGAGATAGATACTCATAGAAATATCATATTTACTGTCAAAAGTTTTCACTTCCAGAATATCTGATTGATTGATTGAACGAACACAACATACAAAACAAAATCAAAGACAAAGATACACTGTGCATATCTAAGTTCAGTGCAGTTGAGATGTTCAAATGGAGTAGGAAGAAGTAGAAAAAAAAAATCTAGTCCTATCCCTTGTTCTTTATAAAATATTAGAAATCGTGTTACCGTGTTAATACACAAATCGGTTATCATATCATATATATATATATAATTATTGGAGCCTATCCCAGCTGTCTTCGGGCAGTAGGCAGGGGACACCCTGAATAGGTTGCCATCCAATCGCAGGGCACTCACACCTCGGGACAATCTAGAGCAGGGGTGTCAAACATACGGCCCGCGGGCCGGAACCGGCCCGCAAGTAGGTTCAATCAGGCCCGCAGGATAATGTAAAAGTGAAAAAAATGCATTAAAGACACAGAATTAATATTTTTAATCAGGTGCAATTCATTGAGTATCCGCAAGGGGACACTGTTTTGATCAGAGAAGAAGACAACAGCAGCCTCAGTCTGTCACTGAGACAGACCCATGACAGCAGACGCTATCAATAGCACTCTCACATTTACACATTTAATAGCACTCTCCTTAGTTTGTAAGGTGTAGGCAGGGATTACATTTAGATTTTATATGCACGTGTAAATGCTTTAAAACTTGCTTTCTTTATGAATCTTGTTTAATCTTAAAGTGCTTTACTATAGTTTTCAATACCAATTACTTGTTAAAGTTTGTACAATCAGTGGGATCAGTTGCAATGCATATATGTGAATGATAAAAGTAAATTGCACATTTGTCGAAGGAAATGTAAGGTGCTTCATGAAATGTTTTGTAAAAGATATGTTCATTAAATTTCAACATTTTCCTAATGTTCTTGTGCTTCTTTATACCAAAACAAAGGAAAGACATATTGTTTTGGTTATTTATAGCAAAGCATTGTATCATTTTAATGGTCCGGCCCACTTGACATCTACCGAGGCCGTATGTGGCCCACCATGTGAAATGAGTTTGACACCCCTGATCTAGAGTGTTCAATCAGCCTGCCATGCATGTTTTTGGAATGTGGGAGGAAACATGAGTACCCGGAGAAAACCCACGCAGGCCCGGGGAGAACAGGCAAACTCCACACAGGCAGGCCGGAGCTGGAATTGAACCCAGTACCTCTGCACTGTGAAGTCGACGTGCTAACCACTGCGGGCCGCCCGTACCTCAACATCATTTCTGATATTTTGACGAGTCCTTGAACGTCTCAATGTGTTGTCGCCATCTGTCGGTGGCGCGTCCCATTTATGTACTACTTGGAGCGTATGTTTTGTTTTAGAAGACAGTTGTTCCGTATTTACGAAGATGAAATAATTGAGATTATGCAAGGTAAGAGAATAAGATTAAAAACGTGTGGAAGACTGCTTCTTTTGAGTGTCGCAAGCCAAGTCACGAAACAAGTCAGGTGACAGCGACTAGCACCCCTAGAGTGACAAGTGATCTGGACCAATCGCATTTCGCTATGGAGGCCAAGGCCAATCTTATTTCGTATTGGAAACCAGTCAACCAACCAGAACCGAGAAAGGCGGGATGAAATGTATCTTTTTTTTCAAGGGAGAGGAAATCCGAAGGAAACGTGTGGGTTCGAGCGCCGTGTTTGCCACTCCAATGGAGCAATAAGTACCCAATAGTCGCACTGTTTGGCGGCTGCACGTGAGGTGAATTCCGTCGCTGAAAACACGGGCGTGGTGGCCGACAAGTGAAGGTTGGCGTGGGGCCCGGGAGGAGGAGGAGGAGTGGGGATACCAGCTGGGATACCACCCGGGGGATAAGGCGACCGTCGCTTTTGGCCCAAAATGTCGATCCAATACGAGGTGGAGCAGCTTGCCGGTAGTTACGGGGTGGCCGACTCGTTTCCCAAAGACTTCGGCTACGGGGACGAAGAGGCGGATATCGAGGACAGCCCGGCGCCGTCCGACAGCAAGCCGAGGATCCTGCTCATGGGGCTGAGGAGAAGTGGCAAGTCATCCATACAGAAGGTGTGCTAGCCTGGCCGACAAGCTCGCTTCGTCATGGCATGTCGCTCCAAATATCACACGCAGTAACCAAAGTACAGCACTGTTCGCGACCAGCCAGCTAGCCTCAATGCTAAGCTAAATATCGTCTCCGAGTGGTAGTGGGCTGTAAATTATTAACTCGCGGGTCAGAGGCGCTCAGTGCATCTCCCTGATTATGTGGACATAACGTCATGTGACTTTTAAACGGTATTGAACAGTTTCCTCACTGGCCTCAGCACACCAAAACAGCCGCACCTTCCCTTTCCTGTCAGGTGGTGTTTCTCAAAAGTTTTGACACAAAGTTGCACTTCTGAAAGTACTTCTCCTCTTTGCGATTGCTGTCGTCACAAATGACATAAAAACAGTAGTGTAGTCCCCACAAGTGTTCATCACAAACTACGGCATTCTTGTCTTGACTCACCCATGCGGCACAGTTTGAACTGTAACACTGCTCAAATATAGGTAAGTATAATTGTTGCACTTGAATTAAAAAAAGAAAAAGGAAAAAAAAAAACACTTGTGAGCTATTTTTAAAAGACAGCGCATATTTGAAAAAGTGTAATTTCCGACCTGTCTTGAAGGTGTTTTTTTTTTTTCCTTCTTCTTGAATTCAAACTGCTGAGGCACGGCATCCGTTAAACCAGACACGGCAAGTTAATAGATGTGGTTGTGTTCGCGTCATCTGCTTGCGGTGCAAACGAATGGAGGGGGGCACGCCATCAGTCACTATTTGAGGAAATGTGTGTGTGTGTGTGTGTGTGTGTGTGTGTGTGTGTGTGTGTGTGTTTTTCTTCTTTTTTTCTTAAGTGCCCTTGTGGTTGTCTGGCACGTTGTTGACTCGGCGGCATAATGGATGAGACTGGCCTGTGATATTTTTCGTATTGGTGGACAAATTTAGCACTCGTCCAGAGGTGGGCACGCAGTTTCTTTGCGGTCATCGGCTTTGAGTAGGCCCGGCAAACATGCGACGTGGCTTTTTGCTGCCTCACCGGGCACACGCTTATGCAGCGGTGCCAAAACAGGCTGAAATGTTGTCAACGCTGGGATTTGATTTTGTGCGTTGCAGGTGGTGTTCCACAAAATGTCGCCGAACGAGACTTTGTTCCTGGAGAGCACCAACAAGATCTACAAGGATGACATCTCCAGCAGCTCTTTCGTCAACTTCCAGATCTGGGACTTCCCGGGCCAGGTGGACTTCTTCGACCCCACCTTCGACTACGAGATGATCTTCAGGGGAACCGGAGCCCTCATCTTTGTCATCGACGCTCAGGTGAAGCCCGCGGCCAAACGGGCTGCAAAATACACAGGCAGAATTCCTTCTTGCTTAATGCGCTGAAACGTCCTCAATGGCCAATCCCCCATTCCTTGCAGGTGTGCTTCTCGTCGGACCCTCTTGTCGGCCATTTTGGAATTAGCTGCGCTACGGCCACTCTCTTGTCTCCTTTTAGAATAGGATCTTGACAACAACTCTAAAATGTTTCTTGGCGAGCCAGCGAAGGGATGCCAGAGTCCAAGTTATTTATGTGCTCCCTCTTACCAGTCAAGAGGCGGGCAGCAGCATTCTGGACCTACTGGAGACGCTTAGTGGAGGATTGGCTGACTCCAAAGTCAAGTGCTTTGCAGTCATCCAGCCGCCTAACGTTGGGTTGGGCAAGCGCCTTCGCTGCTCGTTCTTCTTCTTCGGCTCTGGACTGCGCATGGGATTTGATTGTTTTTGCGCTTTCGACTGTCTTTGACATTCATTGATTGTTTTCTTGTTAGTTGTTGTATGATTTCCTTTGGCTCTTTGTAGACAGCGGTGGTTGTTTGAAACTGCTCTCGAAATGCTGTCGAGTTGAGGACAACCCGAATGATTTCTTCCTTGTTGTGTTTCTTGCCAGGACGACTACGTGGAGGCCCTGGGGCGACTCCACCTGACTGTGTCACGGGCGTACAGGGTCAACCCGGAGATCAACTTCGAAGTGTTCATCCACAAGGTGGACGGCCTCTCGGACGACCACAAGATCGAGACCCAGCGGGACATCCACCAGAGGGCCAACGACGACCTGGCCGACGCCAGCCTGGAGAAGCTCCATCTCAGGTACGCCGCACCCAGCGCCCGCCGCGCTTTGCGGGAGTTTAGTTTACGAGCGTTCGGGGTAGGCTGGAGGCCAAGAAAAATCCATTCGGTCGCTCATGGCATACATGGTGGCGTCCGTGGCGCGGCCAAACCCAAACGCTGCCGCCCTCCGTTCCGTGCCGCCGATCAGAAGCCTCTGCTGTTCATTGACCCTGATCTGTGCATCCAACGCAGCTCTGCTTACCTTTTGGCTTTGACATAATGGCAGGGCTTTCACAACTATTGGAGATGCACCCTTTGGGTCTGCCTGATCCTTGTGCCTCTGCTTGATCGTGTTTCAGACGGTGGAGTCAGCTTGAAAGTGGCTCTGGATCTTCCCCCAGCCTATCTGACGATCATGTCAAGCGGGGTGAAACTCGATGTGGGGCTCTTATGACGAAAATTGGATAGCATGCAAAACGCATAAAGCGAAGATTAACAGTGAGCCTTCGCCAATGGGCTCGGATTTGGTACCAACCCCTTCCGCAAATTGTGACAAGTTATTTGTATTTACTTTTATTGTTATTGGGTTTTTTTTTTCTCCTACTGTGTTGTTTGCTATGAGGTCAGCAGTGCAAATGAGAATGCCTTCTCAAATGCCTTCGCTAGATAAAGCAAGGTTATTATTATTGATTTATTTTTGAATGGAAGCTCCCAAAAGAATTTGTCAGTGCGATGAGATGGCCGGAAAAGCACTCGAAGCAGAGAGGATCATTTGCGTCTGGCATGTACGCATTCATGAACCGGTGTTACATCGACGACGGTATTCGGGATTTGAGCGATTCGCCGTAAACAAAGCACCTTCACGTGAAGCTCATCAATCGTGTTAGCCAACAGATACTGATGTGATATTGCACTGGAGATTCTCATGAGCTTTGCAATTTGCCGCGTCACTGTGACATACCACTTGTTCGCTCGAATGGGGAAAAAAAAAACCAACAACTAATTTCTAGCAGCTGTCGGCGCTATCTTTGAGCATGACGTATACAGTAAACCCTGCTGATTTGCTTATCACTCATTCCACATTTATCTATGCCTTTATTGTGTCATTGAGTTAGATGGCAGTGGGGAACTTTCCATCATTAGGAAAGTACCCCCCCCCCCCCAGAAAAACAACGCATGCTTGCTGCAAGCCGATGATTGCCGCTCCCAGTTGATGCTTATTGTCCAACTTCGAAAAGAGAATGAAATATGTACTGAACCAAATCACATCATCTTGACCTTGCGAAAGACAACTAGCTTCATGCGAACACACGCCGTGTCCAGTATTTTCCAACTTTTACGTCAAGTGACTCTCAACGGCTCCCGTCTCGTCATACCGTTGCCATGTGACCGTCAGCTTGTTTATTATTTTCAGGATGTGAGCCGCTTCCTCGTTTCCTTTTGTTCCTTTTTTAATTTTGGTCTTTTTATTTTTTTTGGGGCTTAGCTTTTACTTGACGAGTATCTACGACCACTCCATCTTTGAGGCCTTCAGCAAGGTGGTACAGAAGCTCATCCCGCAGCTGCCCACGTTGGAGAACCTGCTCAACATCTTCATTTCTGTGAGCGAAGCTTTGCGACGCCACTTGCCGCTTGTCGCCCTCTGGCTGGAAATTGCGCATTCCTTCCCTTCCAGAATTCAGGGATCGAGAAGGCCTTCCTGTTCGACGTGGTGAGCAAGATCTACATCGCCACCGACAGCTCTCCTGTGGACATGCAGTCGTACGAGCTGTGCTGCGACATGATCGACGTGGTCATTGACGTTTCCTGCATATACGGGTGAGCGCTGGTCTCGGGTCATCCAATCAAATTTAAAAAAAAACGTCTTTGGAGTCGCTGTATTTCAAAGCACACTACCTTTTTTTTCCTAGACAGCCCTGTTCGCTTGCCAAGTTCTTGTGATGTGAAAGAAAGAGACCAAGATACTTGTGCTGTAAAATGTACCAACAAATATGTCGAGAAAAGCCTACTAGAACATTTTAACTTGGTTTGGAGTTAAACAGAGGCACTTGAGCTTGCAGACTTTTTCTATCCATTACATGAAGGATGAAAAAGAGAAATTAACAAACAAGGAAGCATCACCCTTTGTTTATCATCTTCATAAGAAAATAAATAAGATTTTCTTTCTGTGGAAGTTGATGCGTTGAATTAAAAAAAAAAAAGACTAAAACCCTAAATGGTTCTTTTCAGAAGAAATGTTGCATGTCCCAGACAGGCATCATTTGGAAAAGGTCATTTGTAGTGAAATGACAATGACTGAAATTGGATTTGTGTGGAAAAACATATCTGCAAACTTATTTCTTTCTCTATTTTTGAAAGCCCAAGTTTGACCACGAATCTTCTGCTTTTTTTTTTCTTCCCCCAGTCTGAGGGAGGACGGCAGCGGCAGCGCTTACGACAAGGAGTCCATGGCCATCATCAAGCTCAACAACACCACCGTGCTCTACCTGAAGGAGGTCACCAAGTTCTTGGCGCTCGTATGCATCCTCAGGGAAGAAAGCTTTGAGCGCAAAGGTAAACGCCAAACAAGTCGGTTTTAAAAAAACAATTCAAACGGTATTAAGACGAAGTACAATATATTCATGGCGAGAATATTTATTTCAAGTGACATTCAAAATTGATTTTGTTGTTTTAAAATAAGTGTAAAAATGTACAAATTTTTAAAAAATGGTGATGGAAAAACAACAACATGAATGAAATGAATCTATGTAAAAAAAATGAAAAAAAAATCTGATTGAAAATTCTCTTTGCAAATGCCAAAGTTTCACGACAACTCGGCCCCTCTCTTGTCAGGCTTGATCGACTACAACTTCCACTGTTTCCGCAAGGCCATCCACGAAGTGTTTGAGGTGGGCGTTTTGTCGCAGCGCCCGCTCGGGACGCTGCCCGTGGGCTCGCCGGCGCGCGGCAAGGCCGTTGCGCTCAACGGCACGCCGCGCAACACCGTCTAAGACTCTGGACACTCGCAAAAGACGCTCAGGACCAGCCAAAGGAAGAGGCCGAGGCCCGCGCGCTCAGCCAGGCCTCAAGTGGCTCCCCGCAGCAGACAAGGATTTTCTTTCTTGGTCGTTTGAAGACGACCGTTGGGAGGGACCAATGGTCGCCCGCGTCGGCGGGATCGTGATGCACCCACTCGTCCACTTGTCAAGGAAATCCAAAATAAACACTGAAGGTAAGGCACATGGGAACGATGGCCTTACCAAAGCATCTGAGTCGCACCCCCCACCCCCATTGCTACCGGGACGCCGCTTCCTGTGATTGCACGCGTGGAGAGAGCACGCTCGAAAGGGATTGGATGTGTGCGTGACTGCACCCGAATGCACGTGGGAATATGCGTTTGTGTGTTGGGTTGAGCTGGTGTGATTTTGTGTGTTGTTGTTCTTCTTTTTCTCCTCCTCAATAAAGACAACTAATTCCATGCTCAGAATCATGATTGTCGTTTGTAACGCACTTGACTTTGGAGTCAGCCAACCCTCCACTCAGCGTCTCACTTAGTTGGTCCAGAACGCTGCTGCTCACCTCTTGACTGGTACTCGTAAGAGGGAGCACACAACTCCTGCTCTGGCATCCCCTCTCCATTTTGGAGTTCTTTTATTGATTTTCAAATCTTTAAATGGCCTTGCCCCACCTCACCTCTCTGAGCTCCTCCCACACTACCCCAAAAAGTCGCTTTTCCATCAGAGATTGGTCTTCCAAAGTGGGAGTCATCAATTTGCAGATTTTCATCGTTCATCCTTTTTGGGCAGGGAGCAACCCCCCTTTATTGTGGAAAACACCTTTTGGCAGTTAATCAGCTTGTTTTTTTTTCTTCAAGATTTTGTTTCCTGCCCCAAACAATTTGAAAGGGCCTCAGTTATTTGCGGTTATTTTGCTATTGGTGGGCCGACCAGGTGCCTATCTTAGTAGAGGTCCACTCTTTTCATTATGTTGTTAATATCAGCAAAATACAACTTTTTTTTTTTTTAATTGTCTGACGGAAAAAATAACATTGCCTTTTATCACCCAAAAAAGTTTTATTTTCCCCTTGGGGGGGACAAAACGGGGGGAGAAGTGTTGTCTTTTTTTTTATATATTTTTTTATGACTCACCCAAAAATATATTTTTTTCTTTCAACAGATGGCAGGGAAAAACATCTGGAGTAAAGTTGTTTTCCCATTTTCTTTTTTCTCAAGAAATCATTTTTTAAACTTAATTGCTGCCTTTTTATCATGTCAGGGTCTATTTATACAAATCAACATTCATATCTATGGTCGTCTTTTTTTTGGGGGGGGGGTGTTGTTTAAGTATGAATTCTGAATTGCTTGTGTTTGACCTTGTGACGTTTACCCCGTGACTTGTTCTAAAACCGCGAGATGGCGCTGTCGGACCGTTTGAAATATTGCAGCTTCGCCGGGCCTATTCTTGTGGATCAATTATGCTGGAAAAAAACAAATAGCATCTTTATGTATACTGTATATAAAAGCATACACGTCCCTCTATTCTAGCCCCAGTTGAATGCCTCGTTGCACCTTGAAAATCTGTCTTTCACGTTGACTGAAAGAACATTGTAGATTACAGCCATAATTCGTCCTTGATGTGAGTCGATGACACGAGACGAGCCATTTCATGTTTCGTGCACATAAAAGCAACAAGTGCAGCGGTTTTGAGTCCAAAAATCCTCCCAGTCATTGTCAGTGTCCATGACAGCCGACGCTTCACACACAACTTAGCCGCAATAAAACACAGATCGCTATTTCTTTTTTTTTTTTTTTGCCCTTATCCATTTCATGAAGGCAGCCATTTCTTGAGGGAAAATACACCCTGGCTTTAATCGCGTTTGTCGCTCTCTTTGGCTTGGATGCTCACTCGAACAGGCGCTAATTTCAGCTCAATTATGCATCCGCATGCGGCCAGGCCGCGCTGGGGGAGCTGGAAAGGGTGGGCTCGAGAATTCAGGCAAACGGAAGCCTCCGCTCACATGATGACGACGCCGGTCGTGCTCGACTTGCCGTGATTTGTTTGTTCAAAGGTCACGCTTTTGAAACAGGAACAATCTGACGTCACCCAGTACATGAATTGCGCCTTCCCAAAGACAGCCACGTTCACTTTCGCTTGATTTCATTCATTGATCACGATTCGTGACCCCATCGAGCTCGAGCAAGAGCGAGCGTGTTGACTGGCGGTTTTCTCTGTCCTTTCGCTGCTGTGTGACGCAAAAGCAATAAAAGTTACAAAAGTCAAAAAGGAAATAAACTAAAGTAAAATTCAGTAGTCATAAAAGTCAAAAAAATATTTTCAAGTAAAAAAAGTAGTGGAGGAATTGTTGTCGGTTTTACCTCAGTAAAACCAGTGATTAAAAAAAATAATTACAAGAGCAAATAAATTTGAAATATGCACTAATCAAAGTCAATGCAATAGAATATGTGGACAAAGTTGCTAGAAAAAAATATTCCTGTGTTCCTTTCAAAACTATGCATGTCCCTATCCCAGCTGTCTTTGAAATGTTTTTTTTTCATCCGATGGTCCACTGTTCATATATATCGTTCCAACCATTAGGCTCTTAATAAAACGGCGCCGTTATCTGCCATCTTTTATTAGCTGCTGGGGAACGAGGGCCGCAAAATGAATTTTACAGCCTAATCCAAGACGCGTGACTTCATTTGTTCGATTATCAGGCAAATTATTCATACATACGGTAAACCCATGTTTCGTTGTGGTTCGGTCATTGCATATTCACAGATTGGGGATTTGTCATAATACAGTTACTTTTTATTTCGCTTTGACTTTCTTTTTTTGTGAATTATTATTCACTTTGTTTAAATTAAATTTTAGAGCAGATTTCTTCGTTTGATTGACTTTTTTTCCCCCAAAAATGTTGCACAACAGTTGATTTTGGATGAGTTTTTGAATTAGTGGTTGGTGCATACTGAACATGGTGGTAGTATCGCTTGTATGATCCTCTTCGTTTTAAGTGTTGTGCCGCCATCTTCTGGTATCGATATGCAATTCCAAACCCCTTTTTGGGAGGGTGCCCCAATCGTTTGTTGATTATTTTGTGGCAGGGTTGGCTACCTGTCCCCCGTTTATGATGGCGGCTCACCGTGCATACGAACAATTTAAAAAAACATTTAAAAAAGTGCTTCAGTAAACATAATGCAGAATGCCCAGTGAGGTATTCATTTTGCCATGCGTTTCTTATGGCGGCAGCTCGAGGCAAGGATGAGGTTTTGTTTGTGTTTTCGTGTTGGTATGAAAAGTATTTGACACACTTCTTCTTCGCAAATTAAGCTTATTAGATGTAACGAGGACACGCCATTAATTCAATGGCCTCTCCTTGTTGACAATTTGAAAACATTGGGAAAATGGGCTTTAAAAAGAAAATGCTAGGATGCCCCACCCCCCATCCCCTTTCGTTCTAGTTGATTTTAAGACGGCTGTCTGTTGTGAGTCACATGGGTTAGAAAAAAAAAAGATTAGCATGTCACTCTCAGAGTCAGGAAGTCAGATTCCATCTTCCTACAACTTTAATGATGTCAAACATTGTCAAATATTTGTCCGTGCGGTCGTTAGTAGGTCACGTTCTGGTTGGCGCAGAACGATTCGTACAGTATCAGTGTCTAAACCGTTTCATTCAGGAGTTTCCATTCACAAAGACTTGCACTTCGATGACTCCAAAATTTGTAATATGCCTGCCAGGCCACAGTGGTTAGCGGGATCCTTTACATCCAGCATAATCGCTATGAAGTATCATGCTTGTATCAGCGATATTGCCCCTGTATGGATTTAGTATTGGATCGATAGCCAATTTAGCAGTGTTAGATTTAACAATTTGATTTAGGTCCACCTGAATTATTGTCAAGTATGGGCGTCAGTATCAGCAATGCTGGCCTTCGTATTGTATTGGTTCCAAATCTTGCAGTCTCCGATTTGTCATTTATAACACATCCAAATGGGCAATACTGGCGTTGTATTGACACAATACCACTTAATCCACTTGGAGTGTCAGGTTTTGCAATGAAGAGGCCTCCACATTAATGACTAAAAATATCGGAATCGGCCATAGCAGCTCTGTGATGACTTAGTGTCAAATTGATGCAAAATCCTGCAGTATCAGATTTAGAAATTGGATGATGCATTGACCATAATTATTAAAAAGAATGGGGTATCGATATTGTTTTGGTCTTGGAGTCATTCTAAATCTTGCAGTATCAGATGCGACTCAAAGGGCACGACTTGCCCTTTGTATTGACTTGGGCGATTCGATGCTGACACCACTAGTGTGTATGTGAGATGGTCGCATGATCGAGCGGAGTCCAAAAAGGTCTCCAGAGCATATGCGTTTTCATGCATATCGTCAGCATATCTTGGCCTTGTTACACCAACACAGACGACGGATCAGTCAGCCGTCGCTTCGCTTACAATGCATGCGGCCTCGGTGGTGAACATGCATATGGCTTTTTCTTTTTTTTTTTTTTTTCTCAGAGCCCGATTTTTTTCTCTGCGAGGGTGTTTGCGCACCCCCGTTAAAATAGGCTTCGCTCAGCCGAGGATGTTCTGGTCATTTGCAGGAAGCAGAAAATCGTGAATGTCGAAGAGGGAGCATATGAAGTGGCAGCTTTGCGCGACCACGCGGTTATCGACAGCTTGTCAGCAGCCTGCAGCCATTTGTTGAGTTTTGGGAAATTTGAGAGGGGGGGGGGGGTTAAAATAAATATTTATTCTTTTCTCAAAAGGCTGCTGTGATATTGTGTCCTGCTGTGTCTTCTTTGTCTACGTCTTGCTGGATAGCACACTTCAGCTTAGGAAGAAAAAAAGAAAAAGAGATTCCCCTTTCATTTTGTTGCATAGTGTGTTTAAAACAAATCAACTGCTGAGAAGCATTTGGGAGCAATATGGCGGTTTTAAAAACAAACAAAGAAACAAAAAAATGCTGACAATGCTTCCCAAAAGTGAGATGGCCTTCAAAAGTCTTCAAACTACTGTATTTAAAAAAAGGCTTTTGGAAACATTTGGTCCTCATATGATGTATTACAGTTTAGAATAATCAATAAGACCCCCTACACTCCCCAAAAAAGGAACTATACTACTTTTCTTCCTATTTGAAAGTAGCACATAAGTAAATTGTAAGGGAAATAACTTACAAAGTATTCATCTTTTAATATATATTTAATATCTATTCTGATATGAATAAACTATGTGTTGGTGCTTTTTGACCAAGTTGGAAGTTTTTCAGGGGTAAATGAGTGAAAAAGAATGTGTTTTTAGTGAGATTTTATTCCATTTAGAAGCACGCGGGGTCCTTCGGGACCACTTTAACAGCCCACGTTGACATGGGGAATCCCCGAATCATGACAACAAATGCCTTCATGAGTTCACGTTTCATCGTGTTTACAATGTTGCATTTTATTCAGACATGCATTAATGACGACAGTACTGTAC